GGGTAGTGTAAATGTAGAGCCGCGTACACACTTGTAAAGTTGTAACATTAGCGCCTAACATCCTTTGATGCGACTCAATTTACCGACAACTGGTGGAACGATGTTACGGCGTAAAATGCAGAAAATGCAGCTTAGGGGAAACACGATTTTTATTTTTGACAATATTATACTAAAATATAAATGAGAAATTTAATATTTAACTTATAAATTGGTAATAAATGACGATTCTAGAAGGGGGGCGATCGCCCTATCGACGAGCCGCCACTCGATCTACATGACTACATTCTACACATAAAAATACATTCCTTCCACAGAAAGTTACACCTAGAAAGAAGTTTTTGGGAGTAATTCGCCAAGTTATAATACTTTAACAATCGTTACGACAGTCACTTTTGCAGTCTACAAGAAGCTATCATTACTGTCTGAGCCAACACATTTTTAGTACACAGGCTTGAGACAAAATCTGTGCTAAAGTATAGAAATAGGTAAGGGACTTATTATTTTTCACCGATTTTGAATTGATTAATGTATTGTAATGAATTGTTTTCAAAAATTAGTATAGCCGAGATTTGAAAACTATTTACCATACATAAAATAATATAAGGTAGGAGAAAAAAACTAGACGATCATATTTTGAAAATAAAATTTACAACAACATTGTAGATTTAATATATGTTTATTGAAGGATATATTTTTAACATGAATTCAATTATATAGTATATAATATATAATATAAGTATATTATATAATTATAATTATATATTAATGACAACATAATTAAGTATTTTATTGTTTTTTTTTATACTATATAACTACACAATACAACATGGACGTCGTACATGTTTCTCCTGCCAAAAAACAACTCAYAAGGAAAAGTAAGTGGTTGTATACTATTTTTCTATTGCAAATTCTTAATTTTTAATTATAAATTTTTTGTATAATTTTTTCTTTAGTTAATTGGTACTGGTCAAAAGAAAATTATCATAAATGTCTATAAAGATAAAGTCAAACAACAGCTTGAAAATCCGGAGATGCGCCAATTGTCCTACAGAGAAATGATCGTTTCAGTTTCAAAAACCACCGGTATTGGGCAACGTACGGTACAAACCACATTGGCAGAGTATAAAAAAGAAGGTACAGTGTCATCACCCAACAAAAAAAGAGTAAAACCTACAATACTAGAAAAAGTGGACGAGTTTGATAAAAAATGCCATAAGGCAAAAAATTCTTGATTTTTGGAGGAAACGTGAGGTGCCAACAGTAACAAAAATGTTAATTGCCATTAATGAAGACGAAACATTACCAGACCTGAAACGTTCGTCTTTCCAAAAAATATTGAAAGATTTGCAATTTGAGTATGTGAAAAAAATCGGAACAGTGCTCTTATGGAAAGAGAAGATCTAATATCTTGGCGCCGAAAATATTTGTTTARAATTAGGCATTATCGAGCACAGAACAGGCCAATATATTATTTAGACGAGACGTGGGTCAACGCAGGTGAGACGCATAACAGAGCATGGGTTGATGCCATAGTCACATCATCAAGATATGCATTCCTCAGAGGCCTCACAACAGGACAAAAGGAACCCTCCGGCAAAGGTAAGCGTCTCATTGTATTATTACACATCGGTTCGTCAGACGGTTTTGTGCCGGGGGGCCTTTTATGTTTTGAGTCTAAAACCAACTCTACGGACTACCACGATGAGATGAATGGCGATACGTTTTATGAATGGTTTGTCAAAACTCTGCCATTACTCAAAGAAAACGCCATAATTGTAATGGATAATGTCTCATACCACTCCGTGAAGAAACATAGGATACCAGTWAAGTCGTGGAAAAAACAAGCAATAATTGATTGGCTTGAAAGTAAAGGTGTTATCGAAGAACATCCTACTGTAAAAAACGATTTAATGGAAAAAGTCAACGACATAAAAAATCAGTACGACCAATACGTAATTGATGAGTACGCAAAAGAAAATAAAAAAATCATATTGCGATAACCGCCATACCACTGCGAGCTAAATCCGATCGAGCTCGCGTGGTCGTCGATAAAAAGTTATGTCCRAACGCATAACAACACCTTCAAATTAAAAGACGTGTTCGAGTTATTAAAGAAAGGCGTGGAACACGTAACTCCGGAAACGTGGAAAAATTTTATCGAACATGTAAAAAAGGTGGAAGACAAGTTTTGGGACATAKAAGACGTTACGGATTCAGTGATGGACGAACAACCCGAAGAAGATCGTCATGTTCTAACGATAGGAACAGGTGATACAAGTTCTTCTGATTAATTTATTTATATTTTAACTATTTTTATTTTTTTTGATATTAATTAAATTTGTTTTTTATTTTTACTTAATGAATATTATAAAGTGTATTATGTTATGTACAATTATTCATTTTTGTTGATATACATAAACAAATGCATAAATAATTGATATTGATATAAATTGATATTGCATACATATTATTTGTATTGTTGTTGAATACATAATAAGTGCCCCGGTCGTCAGGTATTATTATTTTTTCGTGTATGTTATTTGAGCCGGTGTATACAAACCACCGGCTGCCACCCGGTGGCGTCGGTTGTGATATTAAGTGCCCTGTACACGGTCAAATTATTTGTCAAATTTTTGTTTGACAAACGTGTTTTGACCGCTGATTTTGACAGTGATAACAAAGAAACAAAATTCCTGTTGTTTTTTTTTATTTAAATTATAAGTTTAAACCTGACTTTAAACTAAATTATTATTTATTTTAAAATGAGTAATAAAAACAAAAATGCTTGCAGGTTTTGCCTTAAAACTCCAGCTATGCATCCAGGCATCTCTTTACACTCGTAAGTATTTAAATAA